TCCCATTGACCTATAATTGAGTGCTGGTGTGCTGGGTTATTGTGAGAACTGGTGTGGACAGTATGAGGTTGGATCACTGAGTTTTAACATGCATGAATTCAACAAACGATTAAAACATGATTATATTGTATATAATTGAATACAAACAAAAGAAGAAATAAATGTTTATTCTATGTTTAAGTTTATTCTAACCCCCATACCAGACTGAAACGACTAGAAACCGCCCGACGTTTTCGACCACTGCAGCACTTACTAGACAAACGCTCTAAGCTTTCAATCAATTACAAACGACTCATATACATGACTACAATAAGACCTATTTGGACTTAGGGAATTGAGCTTTGGGGCTCCACTAAACCCTCGAATTCCTCTCGTATCCAATCCTTACAATCCAAAATCCTTCGTAAAATCCTCAACACTCCTTACTTTGTCACAAATAAAATCATCCATAAAGACCTTCCATATGTTTCCGATTTGGCCCAATCCAGATACCTATCCTTCCATAACAAACTGCAGAACCATCCTTACCATGATACCATAATACCATGCGTCTGAAAAGAAGATGGCCTCGGGACCTTCTAATATAGAACTTTAATTTGCGTTCTACCAATGGGTAGTTTCTCTTCATGTTGTACATGTAATGTTACCAATGTCACATTTACTTATTGTATTTTCTATGTGATAAAGTTGTAAATTTCATTAAAAAAAAAAAGTTTATTCTACCTATATTTTTTAGACTATATCTTTCACCTACTATTATTTTTTCGTTTTAATGTAAATTTTTTCTAAGCCCTGATGAAGGTATTAACTTTGGACAGAAAAGTCGACAAAAATAAAAATAAACATACTTACCCAAACCAATTTTCTCTTCAATTATTATAAATAACTTTACCATTTAAACAAATGAATTTTCGTGCATAATAGTTTTGGAGACCTCTGCATTAGAGTATGCATACGACTTATTGTTTTTATTCCTTCTTCGGTTAATAAAAGCATCCTGCCTAGAAATAATTAAATAAAAATGCACTCCTTTCCATACGAGGATAAGATCGCCGCATGAGTTTCCAATGAGCGAACTTGAAACCAAGGGGGGGGGATTTCCATGCTTTCTTGGCGCTCACATAATGCAGCGTCACGGCCTGGTGGCGTCCGAACCAGACCCGTTCATAATTAGTGCATTTTCTCCTTTTATTGTTGTTCCCTCTCTTGTAATGTCCTTTCACAGGAAATGCAATGCATCCTTAAAGAATATTCTTTGTATGGAGGATCCTTTGTGGGTGGAGTCGAAGGTGTGTTACGTCTGAGGAAGTGTCCCTGGGTTGATAATATGCAGAAAAATTATACGGTCCAAGTCCTTCCTATGTGCTCTATCTCTATGTACGAACCGTTCATAAAAAAAAAATAAATAAATAAAAATGTTTCATCTTTATCGAAATGGTCATCCAAGTACATCCGAATTTTTAAATATGGAATACGTATGGAGTAATACATGTGGAGTAAGTAGCAATTGTTAACATATGGGAAGATTCTGAAGAGGGGGGGGGGGACCAGGAATGATGGGCTGATTGAGGTAGTTTTTAACTCATTAATGGCCGATTGCACCGTTGTTAACTTTAATTTCACCAACTTGGTTAGTTAACTACCGATTAACGAATGTTGGTGGGGGGTGGCCGAATGGGCTAACGCGTGTGCACTGCACCGCCGTTGCTCGGCAACCTGATACATAACACTTTGATAAAAAAATAATCATGAGTTCCTGTCCCGGTGCGGGAGGAGTTTTTAAATCCTCGCCCACACTCCCTAGCCCGGGAAAACCTCCGTATAGCCTTAAAGGCGAGGAAGGGGAAGAAAAAAAAAAAAGAAAATTAACGAAAGTTTCGTTGCACCATTCTGCATCAACCTGTACCACTACAACCCATGAAGGGTCTTGGGTTCAGTACTATTTAGGGAAAGCACTGTTTCTTGGTCAACGGTTGTGCATGGAGGTGATTTGACCGAGATCACGCTCAACCGCCAAGTTTTCCCCCTTAATCAATTATTTAATTAAGGGTACCCACTTTATAATGGAGCACCGTTCTTATTTAGCCTTAAAACCTGAAACAACCATGTTTCTGTTTATTTACAGAGCTTTATTCTTCCTTTCAAAGGTGTTGAAATCCTGAAAAATCTCAAATTGAGGGTGTACAATGATATGATAAAGCCAGTTGTAATATATGGCTGTGAGACATGGACACTAAAAAGCATTCTCGAGTGTTGAAAGATTTGAGAGAAAAATCCTCCGCTCGATAACCGGAGCGATCTGCGATCTTTTAACTCATGGAGAAGAAAGACCAATAAAGAACTGCTTACAGAAATTGTTCAATCATTATCCCATGATATGAAGGCACGGAGGCAAAGATGGGCGAGGTATGTAGCTCGTAGCAATCCATCTGGAAGTCTCTATGTAATAATGAATGCTACAATAGAATGCGAAAGACAAAGAAATATGTCTATAACATAACGCTTTTAAGTCAGTCACTGATTAATTTGAGGTATTATGCTACTATCAAAACTATTTTTAGAAATACCTCACAAATAAGGTGATATCACACATTAGTCCTAGTTAACTGATTCGGGTTAAACATGTAGTGGAGTAACAGGGCCTAAACTTTAGCTATGGTTAAGTTTTAACTTGGAGTTGGTTAACAGAGAATGTTAATTTTTTTTTTCTCTTTCTGGGAAGTTGTATGTTATTCTTTGTTATTTGGCAATGATGACTTCCAATTAAATAACAATTGAATTTATTTGTTGTATTTCCAAATTAAATGTTTACATGTTAACGTTTCGGGATATTTACTCCCATCTTCATAACTACAATCCCAATGTTTTTTTGTTGATACATGGCTAAAAAAATGAGTTAAAACATAGTTTTAGCACACCACAGCATAAGATTAAAACATAAATTCAACTTCAATAAACCACAGATATTAGGCACAGAACCAAAAGACATCAATAGAAAATTACTTGAAGCCATACACATCACAAAAAACAACAGAACAACAGTAAATTATAAAAGAGATACTAAACGTCTAGGAACAGGTTATGCCGATATATTAAACAAAATTAAAATTTAATAAAAATTGCAGCAACAAAAAAAATAAACATTTTACAACAATAGTATAAAAATAAACATTCAAATCACAAAAACAGGGATTGTATTCTGACCATGGAGTAAATATCCCGAATACGTTCATCTAAACATGTAATTTTGGAAATACAACAAATAAATTCAATTGTCATGAAGAGAAGAATAGTTGGAGTGATCAGTCAAATAAGAAGGCAAAAATAAATGATAATATTTATTTTGACATTTGCCGACGTTTCGACCTGAAGTTTAGGCCTTCATCAGGGCTAAGAACCAGATAACAAGTAAGACGGTTGTTAACTGGTCGTTGGCCCCGTGTAGATAGATTCATAATTGTTGGTAAATGTTTGACTGTCGTGAATAATGAAGAGAAGAATAGATGGGGTGATCAGTCGAATAAGAAGGCAAAAATAAATAACAACCTTCTTACTTGTTATTTGTTCTTTTCTTAGCCCTGATGAAGGCCTGAACTTCAGGTCGAAACGTCGGCAAATGTCAAAATAAATATTATCATTTATTTTTTCCTTCTTATTTCTGACTGATCATCCCAACCATTCTTCTCTTCATTATTCAGGACAGTCAACCATTTACCCACAATTAAAAATTCAATTGTTGTTTAATTTTTTTAAAAAAACTTTTATTATGATATTTACAACTGTATTAGTATGAATACATTATGTTGTTTAATTGGAAGTCATCATTGCTAAATAACAGAGAATGTTAACTTTAATCACGACTTTGGTGCAACCGGCTCTAAAAGATAAGAAGCATTATATGGCTATAAGAGTGGGGAAATAGCTTTGAAGTTAAACCAGTTAAGTAGTGATGACTTTTTTTATTTAACGGAAAAAATAAATAATCAATCATATTGGAAATATTATCAGATTAAATTTTGTATAGAACGTCGACAAAGACGGATAGTTTTCCTGACCTGTTCTCCTCTGACTATTTTCACCTCCTTACTAGTCCAAATAATATGTTCCAAAGTAAAATATTGTGTCCCCACCAATTCTTTTTACTAACCCCCTTTCTGAGCATTTATTGACAGAAATATGCGTTTTTCCTAGTGTTTTTGAAATCGCAAACCCGACTTAGCGAGCCACTAGAAGACAAAGAAATATAAGTTGATATTTGAAGCCTTGCGGCCCCAGAGAGAGTTGACTGGACTGTAGCGGACGTTAAATATTCGCCGAATGTCTTATAGCCCGGTTTGGAGCCATCGGAACCGCTTCCTGAATCACTAACGACTCTTCTGCTCCGTGAATAAAATATAAATAACTTTAATATAGCCGAAGCCTTGTGTCCGCCGAAATAGCGATCTCTATGGCACCTACCTCCTTGGCGGAGGCCATGTTTATATTATGGTCATGGAAGGTCGTACCAAAGCATTATTTATTGTTGACTGAATATTAATAGTATTATAATAGTAGTTAAATAGTTGACTGTAGTAAATGATGGATAAAAGAATCGCAATGCTAGCATGGAGCACCGAATTTCTGTCACAGGCATCAGTAGTCAAAACCCTACAAAACAAAAAAAGAAACAACAAAATCGGTTCAGTAGTTTCCGAGAAAATCTTGCCACAGACAGACAGACCAATGGCTAAAAATGTGTTTTTTGGACTCAGGGGGTTCTGAAACGTATAGTTCCGTCGAAAATCGCATGTCGGAAATTTGACCCGATTGTTTAGGTAGGAAGATAAAAATAAGTTCGTAACGTGAAAAAAGATATATTTGAGAGGTTTCAGATTTTCCAAGCTCTTTTAAACCTGATTTGTGCTTACTCACAGTATGTGATATGTATTCTCTTCTACTAAATCATATATAATTGATAAATATAATCGTACAATAGCTATAATAATAATCCATCAACTCACATGCGGCCTCATCCAGACGATGGGTTGCACCGGTGGCTTCTTGAGCCTGTAGAGGCAGCTGGGTCCCGGAGGGAAGTCCTGATCCTCCCAGAGGCTTCCCCTTTCCCTGCAGGCCCTCTTCAGCTGGCTGTAGCTTCCTGACTTCCGGGGTGGTCTTTCCGTCGTCCGCAGTCTGCAACAACAACAACAATAAGATCAACATCAACAATAATATCAACATCATACAGAGCTCATCCAAATATACCAGCCGAGTGATATAAAAGCATTGCTAAAAGACAAAATACAGAAAAATTAGGAGGCCATGTGGGATGGAATTCTACCGACTAATTATCTTAGAGTCTGGGTGGGACAACATCCGTGCTAGGCTATGATCTGGCATTGTTATATGAAAACGTGGAAACTATAAAACTAAATACGACAACGTTAATGAAAACCGATAAAGAATTAGGGCTCGAAATAAACGCGAATAAAACAAAATATATGGTTAGCTGCAAAAATGGCGATACTACTGGTACAACAATTTTTTTTTAAAAGACATGTTTCAACTGTTAAGTTTAGGGATGTAACTTTTAGCTCCCATTATTAATGAAATAAATAAACATTAACATTATTGCTACATTAGATTGATATGGGGAAGTTCCTAAGCTCAACGCTGAGGTCATCGATGGCATCGGATTCTTCATTACGCTGGGCGAAAGGATTTCACCAATAAGCTCATCGTTGAGAGTTTAGAAACTTGTTCAAAATCACAACCAATAGATTAATACAAGAAAGTTAATAAAATAAAAAACGTTCTAAGTGTAAAACATATTTTTTAGTTTTGAATAGTTAAAAAGTAATTTTAAGATTAAACATTTATTTAATATTAAAAATAACTTAAAAGGTTATAAATTTCAATCTCGAACAATGCCAAACTTTACACATAAAATGTTTCATTAATTTCCAGACATGTTATTAAACGAATAGGATCCGTTCTAAAACGAAAGGACTATTATCAAACTTATAGGTCTTACACCATGGATAGTTGCGTTTTTGTTCTTCAAGTGTTTTTAGGTTATGATTTATCTGTTTTTATAATAATACTGTTTATTTGAATATTCATTTATATGCATAATATAAAACATATAATTTGTATGCTGAGACATACTCTCCCATCCCCTAATCAATATGAAAAATATGAACCTACGACTACCGCTGTTAACCAGATAATGTTATTAATGTGGTTATTTTCAAGCATTATCTAATCTCTGAAAGCCTGTGTTTTTTAAAAAAGTGTAACATGTTTGTCTCTCGCCAATAAACTAATAATTGGAGCAAATTATAAAAATAATATAATATATTATAAAATCGTATAAAGCTCGTAGGCATCATTAACAGCCCAAAACTAAAATCCAGAAATGGCAAAATGCCAAAGAGGTTATATATGATAATTTTTTATGTAAATATCCAACGTGAGCCACATCCCACCTTCGGACGTGTGTTATGACCGAAAACACGACTACCTCCCGATCCGATCCTGTTCCATATTAATCAACCTATCGATTAGCCGCGGTTTTTATTAATCGATCTATTGAGGACTATAATTTTAGGACCAAAGAGGAAAATTGATTCATTGCTGAGGAAGGCTATGGGCTGTTAATTCACTCATGCATCATTCAAATCGTGCGTCATTCCGGTCAATAACCTATTCCTCCTTCTTATTTAAAAAAATAAATAAAAAAAATAAGAAAAATAAAAAGTAATATTTTGGTCGTTTGGAATAGCTTATTCTCTAAAACGAGGAGTTACTATCTGTTTGCAGAATGGATCTGGAATTCCAGCGGAGACATATTGATTCGACTTTTAAGTCGGATACAAATATTTCCAAAAAAAAAAACAGACACAAAAACAAACTTGGGTTTTCCATGCTCTTGTATCTACAGAGAAACAAACATGGCTGAGGTTAGGAATTTTTATTTCGCATTTGCCTTTACCTATTGTAATTTTTCAAAAAAACTAAGGTGTGTGTTTTAGATCAGACGGTAAAAGTGAAAAAATCAACAAGGCGAGATTAATAATATGAAATATAAATTATAAATAATAGCTCATTAGAAAGAAGATGAAATTCTGAACATTTCCCTCGCTTACAGTATACAAGTCAGATTTTTAGTTTCTGACATATTTTAATTCATATCTTTCATAAAACTGGTTATCATTTAGTTTTCGACACTATTTTTCCTTTTGGCCTCCTTAACACGACGACGCGTTAAGACACAGTTTTGAATGACAGCACATTACAGCGAGAATGAAATGCTGAACATTTCCCTCGCTTACAGTTTGAAGGTTCGGTTTTTAGTTTCTGAGATATATATTTTTTTTTGTTATAATAATCTTTTATTTATTCTGGGACGAATCCCTTTAGAATAATTAACAAGGACAGAAATGTGGGCTTTTGAGCCTGAGATATATATACATGTATTTAGAAAGTTAGCTCATAGATATAATAGAGAAAAAACAAAAAGTTATCTTATAGATTAAATCGATTAAGAAAAACAAATAAATAAATGAAAGAACAATGAGATGAAAATAAACTAATAATATATATATACACATTTACAGAAGTTTCTATTTACAATTTAGGGACTGGATGGAAAGAAAGTGATTGAATAAGCGGGATTTAAAAGGTTTTTTTTTTTTTTTTTATAAACTTATTTATTAAGATATTTTTGCCGATTTAAAAGTAGGGAGAGTATTGGAGCGACGGATGTCGGGAGGGAAGGAGTTCCATAAGGATGAGGATCGAATAATAAAAGATTTATCGAAAGCATAATATATAAATCTGAAGACCGTGAACGGTTATTGCAGGAGTGGACAGAGGATTTAAATTGGAAGAGCACGGAGATGTATGAAGGACGGCGGGAGTGGATGACTTGGAAGAGGAAAGATTCCAGGAAATACTTACAGCGGTACGAAGGATAAAAATATTTTAATCCATATCTTCTGTAAAAATCTTTATCATTTAGTTTTCGACACTATTTTTTTCCTTTTTCGCCTCTCTAAAATGGCGTCACGTTAAGATATAATTGTGAATTATAGCCTATTACAGAGAGGATGAAATGCTGAACAATTTCCTCGCTTACAGTATGCAGGCCGATTTTTAGTTTCTGAGATATTTAAATCCATATGTAAAAACATTTCAATTAGTCGACTCTAGCCGACTTTACCCGAGCGTTAATACTTCGGAAATCTGACGGATCAATCTAATTAACTCTCCACAAAAAGTGCAAAACGCGTCGAAAGAAGTTTTCACTTTAAAAGAAACAAAAGAAAAATAAAGATGTTAACGTCGTAAAAGAAGATAGTGGATAAATGGAATTCATTTAAGTCGTAATTCAGTATCTTTTAAGGAACAAAAATTATTAACCCCTTAAAAGTCTGTACCACGGACTATAAACTTCGTGAGAGGTTTCATCGTATCCTACATTTTTTTTTAATTACGACGATTCTCGGAAATGGGACGTTTTAAATCTGGAGATCGGTAAACTTTGTCTATGTAATAGAGTATTGAAAATTCATGAGCTTTCCACTTAAATCGTAAGATAATTTGATTACAAAATCGAGAAAAAAATGTGGCCTACAAAAATATTGGGCCGTTGGGTATGACAACTATCCCCACAACATGTCAAAATAACATTGCTTTATAGGCCAAACGGTCCAATGTTTTTGTAGGCCACCTTATCTTACGATAAGATGGAGCCTTTCGCGAAATTTTAGACGAATGTTAATAATATGATGAAAAGGGTATCGCGGATTACCAGGTCTTCTACATGTATTCCATTGTTGACTAGAAAGCAAACTACAAACTATGAATAGTTCATTTTTTCATCAACTCAATCGTTTTCAACGAGTACAATGTTAGTCCTAAGTTCAATCTTAGTTTACAGACAGCTGATCTTATTTCTTAACTGAATGAGATATTTTTCTATAGAGCAAGTTAATTACTTGTTACATTCAACATAATCATTATAAAATATGGACACATCAATGGTGTGTGGTTAATAGAATTTCTTGATAACAAGAACATGAAATGAACTTTCATATTTCAAATGTATTAAACAGAAATATAATAGATGTCTAATTCGAGAATACTCGCAGGGTTATCTTAGAGTTAGCGATGGGCGATAGTCGATAGTTGGGCACTGTCTATAGCTAGATACTATCAAAGAAAAACTATCGATAGGTCGATACTATCAATAAAAACCTATCGATACTATCGATAGTTTAGTAACTCAAGAAGTGGAAGTAGGGTAAAGGTAGGAATAGGCGATAGTCGGTAATTTTCTACTTTCGATAGTATCGATAGAAACTATCGAGTGTATCGGAATTTGAGTAACTTCCCGACACAGACTTAAAGATTATTTATTTTCGCTGTATTCTTTAATTATTTACTTTAAAATGGTGAATAAGCTGTGTAATAATTTAACATTTGTGTTGGATACATTCTTCAAGATTTATGTTAAAGCACTAATACAAGATTATTAAATAAATAAATTAAAAAAATTATTGACGGCAAAAATACAGTTATAAAAAAAAATTAAATTGCATATATATCACTGATTGTTGATTTCAAACAGGAAACATCAACGACAAATGGTTAGTATTGTTAACTATTTGGTAAAAAAGAAAGAAATATGTGTTTTTTAATTTCCAAGATTCTAATTTTCTAAATTTAATTTGATAATTGCACATAGTTTAAAATATAATAAAACTGTTATCCTTTTAGATTTTATAAATATATATATATCTTTTTATGATAAAATAAAATAAAAAAGTTGAGTTAATTTAATATTGTTTTCTATCGGCACAACTGGAGTTGTATAAATATTTCTAAGGAAGTGAAATTGAGGTGGAATTATTTTTACCTTGAAGGCTTCGTCTTGTTTAATTTTGTTTCAGTTTTTTTATTTTCAAAAGAATAATTTTAAAAACACCTTCAAATTTCTAATAATTTATTTGCTTTATGTGGCGTTTCCATTAAACAATAACCGTTTTCCATCATCAAACATTTAACTTTTACTTTGTTATAATATCATTATATCTCATACGTCAATAAATGGGTAGCAGTATGAAGACTTGTTATTAAAATTATTACATTAAGTATATACAATTTTAAAATAATTTGTGCCTAAAAGGAGGGTACTAGTTTTAAATGATAGTTTTAAACTATCGATATATCGATAGACTATCGACTATCGCCCTTCTCTAAGTTAAGTATTACAATACAGACGAAGATCGGTTGTAAACGACGTTCCATTGTGAGAGGTGAACATGAAAGGAATTCTGGAATCGCTTTAACCTTTCCAGCCATTCACTGGAACACACACTGACCTTTCTAGTTCTGATCTGGGCCAACCATCACTGTACTGATTACTCTGTAGTTGATGATGATGATCTTTGTTAAAGTAATCCAAATGAAATAAGTTAGAGAGGGGAGAGTACTTTACAAATACAGAAGAAAATAGATGAAAAGAAAACCAAGTTAGGTTATCAGACAAGTGATAATGAAGCAATGCAATGGAAGCTTTGACAAAAAAAAAAATATATATCTTCACACCTGAAAAAATAATTACTACATAAAACTATATTTAAGGATCCAAAATGATTTTTATTCTAGTTAATTAAATTTCCAGAAGTTTAGTTTTTAATATGTTCTCTTCTTCTCTCGATAGAAGAATTCATTGATAACTGGTTTATAGGCTTTAAAAAAAAAGTATTCCAAATGAAATTGAATGATGAAGATAAATGCAACTATATATAATTGAAGGAATGATATAAATTAAATAAAGAACAATGAAACATGCAATTTACTTTTCTTTTAACATAATTATAATATTGATTACAGATACCTATACATTTTCAATAATGAACAATTGTTTTTTTTTCTGCAATTTTACTACCATGAGTAATTAAGGAAGTAGTTATGAATGGTTAAATAATTATGTCTTAATCTGAAATAATTCTTATCTAAATTCCTTCCATTGGTCTGACCAAATTTCAGTATATGTATGTTCATCCGAAAGTCATACATGATGTAACACAATTGATGTTAGTAATTTAATGTAGTGATAATAAACACAATTATAACAGAAAAGTGTATGTTGGCTATAATCCAATTGCGAACAGAAAAGGAATATATTTTTTCTTAAAGGCTGCTAGGGTTTTTGTTTAATAAGAAGAAATGACTAAAAAAAATGTTAAAGTTAGGTAATTTTTATTTTAAATTAAATTAGTATACTAGAAAAAATTTTCATCAAAATAAAATAGAATTTTTCCTGTTAATGTTATTAAAAAAGAATTAACATGTGTCAGAACTACATAAATTAATGTTTTTCAAAAAATCATGGATTATTCGATGATTCTTTTTTTTTTTTAATCTTCAATATCCTTCTGGACTAGATTATCCACTTACAGAAAACTTTAAGTATTTGTTAAATTGAGGTCTGTCAAAGAATTATATGTGAATTGCCTTAAGCTTTGTTAAAATTTACGTTATGAAATTTTGTTTCCTCAAAGTAACAATGTTTCTAGCCAAAATAATTAAAAAGCTTTTATTACATTTTTATCAATGACATGGGGTGTAGTTTAAATAAATTAACAATTAAAACACATCTTTTTATTTATAAAAAATATGTAAAATAAATTATTTAATGTATGTCATGAAGTGAACAGAGATTATTAACAACTGAAATTCACATTTAAAATATCATGGATTTATTAATAAATTAAGGCGACAACCAGCTTCGCTATAAAGTTTATTTTACTTCATTAAATGAATTAAATAATTAATAATTCACCTTAAATTATGTAATAACTGTAATTATGAATTTAAAAATTTTATTACAATATTAACATTTAATAATGATAAATTTTAAAGGAGATAATAATATATTTCTGTTTTTTAAGGAGGCTCAAAAATAAATCTTAGCAGGACTTCAAATGATTAGGTACTCCAATATATAATTTACTACAATATTATATATATCTAAAGAAATAGTTAATAGAAGTATATTATGCTACTACATTTAACATGAAAATCCAATAAATTTAAAAAAATGATTAACGGTAAATCTATACAATTTTATTATAGGAGTTATATATTTTTTTCAGCGTTCAGATAATCTAAACAATTTGGACAATGTTTTTTTGTCAATTATGTATTGAAATTATTAATTTATTTTATATTCTTTCCATAATTTTTCATCTTATACAATTTATTCAATATTTCAACTTCTTTAAGCTGAACTAATTCAATATTTTATCATTTTGTTTATTTTCCACTAGGGGAACTCTATTCCAATTTCTATTCATAAATCCTGTTTCAAAGAATCCTTCAATCAATTATTCCTTTACCTCCACAAATCTCAATACACAACATAAGTAAAATATGTGTAAAACGTAATTAGTCAATAACAAATAACTTCCAGAGGATGAATTAAGTGTAATTGATTTTGTTCTTTATATTTATTTCAATTCTGTTACACACGATAATCTCCAACTTTCATGACAGATATAGTAGGTACAATATATGAAGAATGAGGAGTTTTGTCAGACTATTTCTTTATAAAAAACAATTAAGTTTAATTTAAAATAATTTATTTTTGAGTACTAATTTTCAAAATTGATGCGAGTGTAGAATGAAAATACAAGTTTATTGATTTTATGACAAAGGTGAGACTTGCATTAATAATCAATGCTTTTTGTTCAAATTACATATTTAATTTGAAAGGATGATTAAACAATTATCATGAAATCAGTAGAAAACAAAAAAAATGTGTTACCTAGCTATAGAAAGGCTTTAATAGAATGGTTTTATGAACTAAACTACCACAATCTTTTTTATGTTTATTAATTTGGTAAAGGCAGTAATTTTATACTGAAGAAAGAAAAATCATGTGTTGAACCGATTCTAACCATTAGTACAATGTAGTAAAAGCCAGATTAACTAGTAAAACTATCTTGAGTCAAAAAAAGCAATAATGGTAACTAATAATTATTATTATTAATATAAATAATTTTTTCATTAAAGATAAGGAGTTCAGGGTTAATTTTCGAGTTAGTGACAAAAATATGTACGTTTTTTAATGATTATAGATTGCATTTGTCATAGTTCTGAACGATAATCAGCCAGATAACCACCATCGGATGAATACTTTCATTATGCTATAAATGTATTTAAAAAATGAAGACATCACAGAATTATAAAAAAAAATCATGCAAATAAGTGTAGTCGGTAAGTTTACAATTGTTAGACGCATTTGCCTAACAAATGTTTAGCACCAAAAGTAAGAAAAATATCGTAAAAAACAGGATATTATTGTTTTAAGTATATTGATAACAGACATAACCTTTTCATTATTATAAGTTCGTTTAGTTGTGAATTAGAGCTAAATATTTATAAGATTTGACAAGTCATCTTATAATTCAAACAAATCCCTTTCTTTATCTTAACTTTTCTTTTATAATGATTCCTAATTTTTGTTTGAATTAATAAAAAGTTATCATGAAAGCTTTGGCTAACCTGGTAAAGTGGATAACCATGGTTATTGTCAGTTGTTCAAATTGTAATATACGTTACGGTTTGAGACAAAACACTAGTTCGTGTTGTAGCAAATCGTCGAAACATGTTCGGTGGCCAGATATTAGTGTTCGGTCGTAAGACGAGAAGGGAAGATGAATCTGGTATTGTTCGCACGCAGAATATCAACGCAGCCAGGATGATAGCCGAAGTGGTGAGAACTAACCTTGGACCGTCCGCTATGCTGAAGATGTTGATGGATCCGATGGGAGGAGTTGTCATGACCAACGATGGGAACGCCATCCTCAGGGAGATAATCGTCCAGCATCCTGTCGCCAAGATGATGATCGAGATCGCCCGCACACAAGACGAAGAAGTCGGAGACGGAACAACCTCTGTTATCATACTCTGCGGTCAAATACTATCAGAAGTAGAGAGGTTCATAGGGTCATACCATCCTAGCATCATCATTAGAGAACTGAGGCAAGCATTGGACGACATTCTCACCTTCATGCCTGAGATCAGCAAATCAGTCGATACTAAAAACCATGAAGAGATGCTGAATCTCATAAAAGCTTCCCTTGGTACCAAATTTCTAGGTACCTCCTGGTCAAGGATGGCATGCGAAATGGCATTGAAAGCCGTTAATATTGTTAAGGAATCTTCTGGCAAGGACAGAGAAAGGATAGACATTAAGTCTTTCGCTAGAGTGGAGAAAGTCCCTGGTGGATCAATGGAAGAATCACATGTACTCGAAGGAGTTATGATTAACAAAGACATTTTGCATCCTGAGATGAAGCGCTTGATTTTGAATCCACGTATTTTACTTCTGAATTCTGCATTGGAATACAAAAAAGGTGAAAGTATGACAAACGCTGAAATGGTAAAAGAGGGAGACTTTACCAGATTGCTTCAGATCGAAGAAGAATTTATAGTGAATCAGTGCAACAAAATTATAGCTTTGAAACCCGATTTGGTAATCACTGAGAAAGGGATGAGTGATCTTGCAATTCATCATTTTGCCAAAGCTAAAATAAGTGCCCTTCGAAGAGTGAAGAAAATGGACATGGTTAGAATAAGCCGAGCGACAGGTGCAACTTTGATGAGTAGGATCGAAGAAATTAGTGAACAACACCTGGGCACTAGAGCAGGTCGTTTTGAAGTCATCTTGATTGGTGATGAATATTTCTCATTTATTAATGACTGCAAAGATACCAAAGCCTGCACGATCGTCCTTCGTGGACCGAGTAAGGATATTATTCATGAAGTAGAGAGAAATCTACAGGATGCCATGAACGTAGCCAGGAATTTATATATGGAACCTTCTGTTGTTCCTGGAGGAGGTGCTGTTGAAATGAAACTTTTTGCAAAAATAATCTCTTCTAAATCGGGATTGGAAACTGAAGGAAGTCCTTACTCGACTGTACCTGCTGCGCTCAAGATTATACCACAAACTTTGCTAGAAAATTCTGGTGCGAGTGTGATGCACAGTATGTCTAAACTTGAGTCTGCCCATTTAAAAGGGGAAATGTTAGCTGTTGATGGAGTTACTGGGGACTTAGTAGCAGCCGAAGAGCTCGGTATCTGGGAACCAACTAGAGTTAAAACTCAGATATATAAAACAGCCATTGAGACAGCTGTCCACATCTTGAAGATCGATGAAATTGTTTCAGGCTCTAAGTCAAAATCTGCACAATCTCTTGATAAAGTGGAGAAGAAACAGAAAGGCGAACCAGTGAACATGGCAGGGCAAGGTGATCAGAAAGAGTTCTGATTTAAGAAATTTACTCACTTCAACGGTATTTTGTTCCTGTAGTTATTATATTGTGATAAAGTTTCAATTTTTAAAATATTAAAATTAAAAAAAAAAAATGAAAAATGATTGTGCTTTTTCATATATTGATGTATTTAACATTCTGAAAAAATGTATTTCTTAATATATGAATAAATTTATTATTTTTTAAATATACTGAGATATCTTGTTAACTTTATCCTAACCTTGCTTCACTCTTCCACTTTATTAGTAAAATTATTGTTTCTTTAGGATTACATTATTCATTTATGATTTAAATAAACACGACAATGACACTATTTTTACCACATATTTAGTAGTTCTATATAGAAAAAGCTGATCTTTATTTTACTGATTTACTGTTTGCATATACAGCTTTTTTTATATACCTGTTTTGATTTCATTTATGCACTAAAATGGCGATTCACTTGCAGTTAAATAGGTTTTAGTATTTGATAATAAAAAGAGAACTCCATTATTTATTATTATTTTAAAATTTATTTAAAAAATATATTGTTATAATAAAACATTAAATTATAAGAAACGGATTCACATAAAAATACTTAATTCACTTGAAGATGGCCTAAAATAATATAAATAAATGACTTTGTATGGTGATTGTTTTTAGTCTCAACAATTTTATAGCATTTTTATCAGGCAATTTATAATCATTTTAAATAATTGAAACAAGTATTAAATGATATTCTGAAACAACAGAACAAGTGAATCTGCATAAGTTAAATAGATACGGCATATTAAGTGGAATTACGGTTTTTATTTTTGAAGATGTACATTTATGGAAGTTTGAATGGGCCTAGGTCAAGATTTAGGCAGTGATCCTTAACACAATACAAGAGGTGATTTACCCTCCAGCAATGATGGTTTGAATCCAGTCTGAATAGGTTGAAATTTATATACATGCAATTTTTTGGAAACTATAAATGTTTTATTTTAAGAACCTTTAAAATAGTGAAAGTGATGAGTACTATAAAATATTAATATTAAATTCACTTTTTATTTATTTTATTCTGAAGTTTTAAGATGTTCTCTTATCATTAGGTGCAATATTTGATTTGTTTTCAATTATATATATATATATATAGTCACTACTGTTATTTAAGTCTGTTCTGAGTTACTTTCATGACTTAAATCGTTTTAAGAATTATTCCATCTACCAGTTCTATTTAGAATACTTATGATGATTTCCCTACTTTATTATCATCAATTATTTTATTCAGGATTATCACACAACTGCCTCTAGAATTATTCTTATTATTTTAATTTCGATACTGGATTAATAATTGATATATTGAAGAGAAGTTGGTTGGGGTGTTACGTCAAAGAAGAAACAAAGTAAAAATAAATGATTTATATAGTGGTTCATTAGCTTATTTGTCATAAATAAATAAATCAAAAATTAGTATTTGATTGTAAAATTTATTTGTACATTTTGAGGAAACTCTGTCCTCCTCCTCAGCAATCTAAAATGATACAATAAATAAATATTAGCATAACGTAACATTTTAGTTTGCTGAGGAGAAGGATCGAGTTTCCTCGAAACATACAAATAAATTTTACAATCAAATACTAATTTTTGATTTATTTATTTATGGCCAATATGCAAATGAACCACTATAAAAAGAACAAAGGTCAAACAAGCATAATGAAAAAATAAATTACAGTTATTTATATTATTTGGCTTAAGTTTCAGGGCTAAGAAAAGACAAGATAACATAAATATTAGAAACTAGTTGACGATAAAAGTAATAATATATAGGTAAAAATTATAGTCTCATAAGATGTAGGTAGAATAAACTTAACATTAATAAATATATGGAAAGGTAAATACATATATTTGTTATTGTTAAGTTTATTCTACCCACATGTTATTAGACAATACCTTTTACCTAAATATTATTATTTTTATCGTCAACTAGTTTCTGATATTTATTTTATCTGGTCTTTTCTTAGTCCTGATGAAGACTTAAAATTTGGACCAAAATGTTAGCAAAAATAAAACTAAAAATATATTTATTTTTACTTTTTTCTTCATTTGTCTCAACACACCAATTAACTTCTCTTCAATATTTAATTTTTATTAAGAGTGAGTTTAGAAAACATTATTTTCACTACAATTTAATAAAATGGACAGAGTTTTAAGGATTTTCACTGTATGTTGTTCAAGCATGAAAATTACACATTAAAATAAAAATTTCAAAGTGGTCATAATTGTAAGTCTGTAAATAAAAAAATCACAATTAACTTTGGCATCTAGACTTTACAATCAGTTAAATTCGTTAATGTTTCAAGGAGAACATTAATTCCTCTTGATAATCTATTTTTACATTCTATACTGTGTTCAATCCATATTTACATTTTGTAATTGCAGTTTATTTTAATCAACTTGGCCATTTAAGTCAATATTAGTAATACATAAAATTTAAGAAATGTCTAGTATTGTTACTTCAGATTAGCTTAACAAGAAATTTGGTGAATAAAATGTTTTTAGATCTAAATATGAAAAACCAGTACCACTACAACCCATGAAAAGTCTTGGGTTCAGTACTTTGTAAAGAGTACTGTTTTATGGCTAACGGTTGTGCAGGGAGGTGATCAAGATGGGATCACTTAACTGCCATATTCAAATTCAGAATCTAAATATGAACATTTTAAATAAAAAGTATTTATAATTATTGTTAGAAATTTAGTAACAGTAAGCTTTTGAGTTAAGTTACTATGATTTGCCCTGATGATATGAATAAAAATTATATCACCCATACATGCAAGAAATTAATTATAGAAAAGAAATTATTATAATTTCTTTTTAATTTATTTAAATTTATTAATAATGGATATGAAGAGTTTTATCAACAAACATTGATTGAAAAAAAAAAAAAAATTTACAGACAAAACACTAACTACTCTCATATGAATAAAATTTTTATACTTTACTTTTTTTAATTTCTTAATGATATTTACAACTGTACATGATATTTAAAGAAATACATTTAGTAAATTTGAACATATGGGTATGATGACTTGAAAACACTTGTTGAGAAACTACCCAATGGTAGCACTCTAATGATATGTCTACATTAGGAGATCATGGACCATCTTATTTTCATAGGTCATCAATAATTGAAGAGGAAACAAGGTTAGAAACGAGAGGGTTGGGATGATTCTGAAGTTTATCATGGAAGGATAGGTATCTGGATTGGGCCAGATCTGAAACATTAAGATCGTTATGGATGATTTTATTTATGACCAAGTAGGGAGCATTGAGGATTTTACAAAGGATTTTGGATTGTGAGGATCAGATACAAGAGGAATTCGATGGTTTAGTGGAGCCCCATAGCTCAACTCTGTAAGTCCAAATAGATCCAAATAGTCATGTATATGAGTTTTTTGTAATTAATTGGAAGTTTAGAGCGTTTGTGTAGTAAGTCCTGGAATAGTCGGAAATGTCGAGCTGTTTGTTGTCGTTTCAGTCTGGTTAAATAAAGTATTTATCTAAAATTATTAGACTAAATTAAAAAAAAAATTATCTAGGTATAGAGTTCTCAAAAATATATAAAAAATCATTAATTTTGTTATTTTTTTGCTAAATTGTTTCTGCTCAATGATTGCTTTTCCTCCAATTTTATTTGTGTTTTTAAGAATTACTTTTCCAAAAATTAGTCAGATATAAATGATATTTGGCTTTTAAAATAATGAAAATACTGTTTCGCTTTTTGAATTTTTATATTCACTAAACGAAAATAATAAAATATTCATAGGACTACTTCTAATTTCAAAACACAATAATTTTTTTCCGAGTAAAATTAAATTTACAAAAACGGATCTAGCTGGTTTCAGCTATACCAGCTGGTTGGTTATAACATTGTTCCAGCTGGGCAAGTTTCTGAACTCAGTACTAATTTCATCAATGGATTACATTAATACTTAATGGATAAAATTATTGTACACAATCGATATGTTTACAAACTTTATACACTTGCCATTTTTTTGGGAGGCTGAGCCCTCACCACGGCAGCATTGGCTGTTTTAGGGACAGGAATTGGAATAGGAGGGTTTTGAATGTAGATAGGGATGAAGAATGCCGAATTTTGATAGGAAGGGAATTTCAAAAATTAACCGAGCGAGCTATGAAGGAGTTTTGGAACGAGGAAGATCTGTGAGAAGGAATGTAAAGGTCGGAAGGTCGAGATCTTGTGGAGAGGGAGTGGATTGAGGACTTGAATTGGAGAAGGTTGTAGGCGTAAGAAGGACGATGGTTGTTGATGATCTGATAGAGGAACGTACCTAGGAAATATTGTCTTCAAATGGAGGGGAAGAGCCACTTTAACTCAGTGTAGTAGTGAGAGACATGGGGACACCAATTACAAATCTCACGCAACTGTTCATTCATTAATTAATTGTTTTATTATTTTTTTGAGGGGGAGGGAAATTAAGACCGAAAGTCCCCCCTTGAATCCGCCAACCCCTACCACTACTGCGTAGGAATTTCACGGTTGATCTGGCGCATCTTCTTCAAGAGAATATTTCTGGAGGAGGGAGCCTCGGCAGAAGAAATGGGAAACCGTCACAGTCCATAGAACCTCTTAATGACTCCTCCACTTCTGGAGCACTCTTACGGAATCTTCCAGTAACAGGGCTCAGGTCTGACCTTGCGTCTTCACTTAGGCGATAGTCGATAGTTTTCAACTTATCGATCGTATCGATAGTTTAGTAACTTCCCTCTACAGACTTAAAGAGGATTTATTTTTGCTGTATTTCTTAGTTATTTACTTTAAAATGCTGCATAAGCTTGGTAATAATTATCTTTTATAAAGATTTATGTTAAGGCACTAATAAAAATTGTTAAATAAATAATTTCAAACATTATTGACGGGAAAATACATATATATAGAAAAATAAATTGCATTTATTTCCCTGATTATTGAATTCAAACATGAAACATCAACGACATATAGGTAGTATGGTTTTAACTATTTGGATAAAAAAGGAGGAGAGAAATGTGTGTCTTTTAATGACCAACATTCCAAATTTAATTTGATAATAACACCTAGTTTAAAACACAGGCGGATTTACAGGAGGTGGGCTTTCGGGCTGAAGCACCCTCCCCCAAAATGGTTGTATAATAATATATAATACCCTCCCCCAAAATAAAAATG